TATCTATTTTGAGCAGTTCTTTAGCTGTCATTTCTTCCTGGAATTTCTTTGGAGGAGAGTTCTTCCATTTCATCATTTTGGCTAGCTTTCTGTCTCTTGTTAGTTTTAAAAGCTTGTTGTGTGCTCTGCACCTGTGAGTACTGCTGTGTTAAAGAGGGCTCTTTGACTATCCAGGGCCTGTCCATTCAGGAAGTGTTCTGTGAATGGTGTGTCTTGTTCCCTCTTATTGAGACTTTGGTTATTTTATTTCCCTACTTGTAGTGGTATTTGGGACTCTCCACCATGTGTACTTTGGCTTGTTTCTTGAGGTAGCCCTGGAAAAGAAAACAGACAAACACACAGGGATCAAAGGCACGCACATGCACAGACAAATCCAACAAGTGAGGAAAGCAAAAGGGAAAAAGAAAAAGAAAATAAAAAGAAGAAGAAAGAAAAGGAGAAAAAGAAAAAGGCTAAAAAACCCCACAAAAACAAAAGACAAAAGACAGTCTAAAAGCATAAAACCAGAATTCCAGCTACAAATAGAGAGCAGGTTGTATGTAGTGCCCATGGAAGAGCATATACAAAGAGAGACATGTTAGGGCAGGGAGGAAGCAAAATTGGACGATGACCAGACAGAGAGACTAAGAGGCTTAATTCAGAGAGAGAAAGAGGAGAATATGGTAGGAGACGAGGAGGAGGAAATGAGTATAGTGTTACTCAGAGAAACTATATGGTCTGATTACTCCGGAGAGAGAGAGAGGTAGAAAGGTAGCGGTGGAGGTGTAGAATATACATCTAGAGAATGGATTAAATGTGAGTCTTTAAGCAAACCAATGACCAGAGTGCCCCGTCCAGCAGAGTAGAGGGATACGAATGAGACAAGGGGAGAATATATCTGAATAGAAAGAATTGACCTAGAATTGATCAAGGCAGTGCATCCATGTTGGTCTTGCCCAGGCTCTGGTTAAAAAAAAAAAAAAAAAAAAAAAGGAACTCTGTAGCGGGGATGGGCATGGTTTGGTCTAGTTGGGCCTAACCTCCACTGTGGTCCTGCCGGCCACTCCCTAGGTCCCACCTTGGTGGTTGTGGGTAGTAAAATGGCAGTGCCCTAGTCACCTCTGGAACTAAGCGTTGCAAATCACTCCCTTGGGTCCGATCTCCCTGTGTCGCGGGTGCAGCCAAGTTGGGCCTTGTTCTATGTCTCAAGCCCCGCCTCATTTCCAGGTCCCAGTCTGCGAGCTTTATTGATACCTCCCGAAACACAGTCCCACAGGTTTTCTGCTTTCCTGCCACCGGGGATCTCGGCCGCTTCCCTGCTGCCAAGGATTGGGCTGGGAGAGCAGTGGCGCAGCCTGGGGTCAGACGCTTCCTCACCGCCAGGGATCGGGCCAGGAGAGCATCGGCACAGTTTCTTCTGGCGCTGCCTGGGACCGGTGCACCCAGTTCAAAGTCAGCACCCCGGCTATAACTAAGAACAATCTCCATCTGAGCCAAGGTTTTTCTCTCCTCCAGGGACAGTTCTATGAGCAGTTTCAGCTGCTGTTTCTTTTCCCCTTGACTCCCCACGGCTCCCCACGAAGGGGACTCCCTCCATGTCTCCTGGTCCCAGCCCATTTTTATCTTCCCCAGTTTGCACTCACGCTCATATGAGGTTTCCTTCCCAGTGTACTCTGTCTCTTTTTCTTCCCAAACTCCTGCGGCTCAGTGTCCTATGACTTCAGGCCTTCTCTGTTTGAGAGATGGGGGTGAGTGAAACGCACAGAATTCCCTACTTCTCCGCCATCTTGCCTCCTCTCCTAAATGTTTACTTATTTTTGAGAGACAGAGTGCAAGCAGGGGAGCAGCAGAGATGTGGGACACAGAATCCAAAGCAGGCTTTGTGTCTGTGCTGACAGTTCAGAGCCTGACACAGGGTTCAAACTCATGAACTGGGAGATCATGACCTGAGGTGAAGTCAGACGCTTAACTGACTGAGACACCCAGATGCCCCTAACCCATTCAAGCATCAGCAGTAAATCCCTAACCTTATTTATCATCTAAATCAAATGTGGATGAGATTCAAGGTGTAAAATCTTCTGCCGCTGTGGACCTGTGAAACCATAAATATTATCTGCTTCTAAAATACAATCTATGGGACTGACAATAGGGTAGACATTCCCATTCCATAAGGGAGAAATTGGAAAGAAGACAGTTGTCCTGATTGCAAGCAAGCCTGAAACCTAGCAGGGCAAATTCCATTAGATTTTAAGGCTCGAGAATTATCTTTTTTGGGTTGATGCTCTGTCCTTTGACCCACTGGTGTGTGTGGCAGGCTCACCCTTGAGGCCCTGGAAATTAGCAGTCTGGCCCACTGAAATTGAGGATTCAGCCTTTTCCCCCTGGGGTCTTGCCAGGAGCCGCACCAGCCTCTCTGGATGGCAGTCACAGCAAGGAAATGGCAGTGTTGGCAGCTCCTGCCATGAGAAATGAAAACTGGTATCTCCTTCTGCTACTACTGGCTCATGTTGGATATAAGCCTGCTGGTATTGACCAGGCCTCACAATATTCCATATGAGACCATATTCTGAATACAGATACCTCATAAGGAAAAGCATATTCCTGCCTTTGCAAGAGAGATTTTAGATGAAAGCTCCGTGGATGATTGTCAAAAGGCTCTTCCTATGGGCCTTGCAGATCCAAGACTTAGACAATAAAGGGGGTTAAGAACACAAGAGTTACAATTGAGCCTGGCCCCGAGACAAAGAGCCTAATTTAAAGTTAAGGTACAGATAAGGGCAGAACATAAGTTACTACATATATCTTTGCTAATTGGTGAAGCATAGCAGTCCCTTCCTCAAGGCCTACATTCCACAAACACCCTCCCTTACACTGGCAGCTGGGATGAGGATAGATAGAGTAGCTAAAACATAACCCAGGGGCAAAGACTGACATATTTACGGCCCCCATGGTGCTTGCACTTTCAGCATCAAGGAAAAGGCTCACTCAAGCAATTTAGGAACAAGTCTAATATACATTCTTCCTCTTGTGATTAAAAATTGTCTAGAGGCCCACCCATGCAAACTAAGATAAGTTTGTTAGAACCTTAATCTGGGGGAATGACGTCAAGAATATGGGGAGGTTCTGCAAGAATACTTTTGTAACGCCTGTTTCTGTACACCTTCCGATGATCAAAGCATCTTATTACAAATAATTAGCCCCTGTAAAAATTCTGTCTTCTGATGTCATATTATCATTGAACCTTAAAATAAAGACACCAAAAACCGAAAGGACAGAGATGCTTGCCTGGTGATCAGAAAGAATCTCGAGGCTCTTTCATTCTCTTTCGCCGACACCGTCCATCCTTCAGGGACCCCTGGACCTGTCAGAGCCGGCGCGGCCTCCGACAGGGTCTGTCTCCTCTGGGCCTATAGTGGCTGCAGCAGTCCTGCTGACTCTGAATTGCCTTGAGGTCATTCCTCCCTTTTCTTGAAGGATAACACCTGCTGACAGTGAACCTGCTGCTAGAACTTCATCTCTATTCCTGGCTTCTGCTGATTTGGCTTATTAGGATCTGTGAGTCATGCCTGTGATCTCTTATTCAAAAGACTGTCCGGCCATAACCTTGGTGTTGCCCCCTGAACATGCTTTCACATTTTGTTATATGGATAGGCTAAGATTGTTCCAAATCTTGAAGTTCTGGTTCCTTTTTGCTTAACAATTCCTTCTTCAATCTATCTTTCTCCTCTCTCATTTTACTATGAGCAGCAAGGAGAAACCAAGCTCTACCTTCAACACTGCTTAGAAATCTCCTTTGCTAAATATGCAGGTTTGGCACTTACAATTTTTACCTTCCATCTGACACTAGGACACAATTCATCCAAGTTATTTTTTACTTTATATCAATCAAATTCTGTCCAGTTTCTAATAACATGCTCCTCATTTCTTTCTGAGATCTCACCAGAATCCCCTCTAATATCCTTATTCCTACCAATAGTCTCTTCAAGGCAATCTAGGTTTTTTCTAGCATGCACCTCAAAACTCTTCCACATCTTTGCCCATTCCCAGTTGTTTTCTTAATTTTTTAAAATATGTACTTATTTCTGAGAGAGAGGGAGAGAGAGAATGATCAGGTGAGGGGCAGAGAGGGAGACACAGAATCTGAATCAGGCTCCAGGCTCTGAGCTGTCAGCACAGAATCCTCTGCAGGACTTGAACTCACAAACCATAAGATCACGACCTGAGCCGAAGGCTAAACACTTAACTGATTGAGCTACCCAGGCTTCTTCCCATTCCCAGTTTTAAAGCCACTTCTATGGCCTCCTGCATGGCTGTCAGCTTAGTGTCCGACTCTTGTTTTCGGCTCAGTGATCCCAGGTTTGTGGGATTAAGCCCCGAATTGGACTCCCCTGCTTAACATTCTTTCTTTCTCTCCCTCTTCCCCTTTCCCCTGCTAGCTCTCTCTCTATATATATCTCTCTAAAATTAAAAAAAAAAATGAAGCCATTTCCATATTTTTATGTATCTGTTACAGCAACATCCCACTTCTTGGTAACCTAAATCTCTATCAGTGTGCTAGGGCTGCCATAACAAAATACCACAGACTTGTGGCTTAAACAGTGGAAATTTATTTTCCCACATTCTGAAAGCTAAAAGTCCAAGTTCAAGATGTTGGCTAGTTTGGTTTCTTCCAAGGCTTCTTCCTATGGCCTGTAGGTCCCCAACTTCTTACTGTGTCTTCACATGATCTTTCCTCTTTTTGTGCATCCCTGATGTCTCTTTGTGTGTCCCAATATCCACTTTTTTATGAGGACAACAGTCAGGTTGTATTAGGGTCCACCCATATGGTGGCTTGATTTTAATTTAATCACATCTTTAAAAACCTTATATCCAAATATGGTCACATTCTGAGGTACTAGGGGTAAGGCTTCAACATATGAATAGGGCTGGATGCAGTTTAACCCATACCAATCACTCAGCATGAATAATCAGCTGCAGAACCTGTTAGTTTTGCCTGTATAATAATATTGTGTTCCTCCTAGTACTATGAAGTATTCCTTCGACAGTCCCAAATGGAGCCCTGCCTTCTGTTTCATGAAGGTGGGTACTGGCGTGAGCTCACAGTTCTCACCAATTGCCAAGGACACACAATGGCCATCATCACTTTCCATCTTCAGGAATTAAGACAGGTGAGACAGAATGATAAGGGGCAGCTTTTGTAGCAGACCTTATTTTCACTATACTGTAATTGGTTTTGGAAGTTTCAGAGCAGATAGCAGAAACTACACATCCACAGAGTATTTGTGTGGGTTGGGAAGAGGGGTTGGAGATGAGGACGAGGAGGTGGCAAGGATATTCTTTAATCATGCTGCTCATATAAGCAAACCACAGAAACTGATGTGGGGTTACCAAGTTAATTATCTTGTGAGGACTCCCAGGTATTTTCACAAGAACTTTGCCCATGGAACTTGGTAGATACTCCACTGACTCTAAAAGCCAATTCAGCAGCACCTGGGTGGCTCATTCTGCTAAGCATCTGACTTCGGCTCAAGTCATAATCTCGCGGTTCTTGAGTTCGAGACTCGAGTCAGCTGTGCTGACAGATCAGCGCCTGGAGCCTGCTTTGGATTGTGTGTCCCCCTCTCTCTCTGCCCCACCCCTGCTCATGCTCTGTCTTTCAAAAATGAATAAGCATTAAATTTTTAAAAAAAATATAAGCCAATTCAATAGTGACAAGAATATAGTCAGAATTTCATAACTCAAATACTTTACATTCATAATGCACTTAGGGCTTTTAAACATTCCCACGTTAAAACATTCCTATACTTAACGTGATCATCTCAACCAACTCATGAAGTAGGTGAGAGGAAAGGTATTGAAACCCTCAATTCAGATGAACAGATGGAGACACAGTATTACCCAAGGTTAAAGAGCCAGTAAATAGCCAACCTAGGTCTTGAACCCATGTCATTGATTCCTAACCTTTTTTTTTTTTGTAATTAAAAAAATTTGAGTATAGTTGACATATAGTTCCTGGCCTTTTATTTTTTATGTATGTATGCATTTATTTAAATAGATACAACTTCATTAATATCAAAGTAGATTGTAAGACAACAAGTATTACTAGAGATAAAAAAGAAGACTTAATAAAGATAGGAGATTCAATTTAAAAGGAAAATACAATTTAAAATTACATCTAATAACTGACAGAACTATAGGAAAATACACAATGCTATAGTAATGGGGGATGCAATAAATAATGGTGAGCACAGACAATGATAAAATATACCAGTAAGTGTAATCTTCTACATATGTCTAAAAAACCTTTCATTCATTTATTTTAATTTTAATTGCAGTATAGTTAACATACAGTGTTAAATTAGCTTCAGGTATATAATATAGTGAGTTGACACTTCCATACATCACCCTGTGCTTATCACAAGTGCATTCCTTAATCCCCATAACCTGTTTAGCTCATTCCCCCATCCACCTGGCCTCTGGTAACCATCAGATAGTTCTCTATACTAAGAGTGTTTCTTGGTTTGTCTCTCTCTTTGTTTTTCTCTTTGCTTATTTGTTCTGTTCCTTAAATGCCGCATGAGTGAAATCATTTGGTATTTGTCTTTCTCCAACCGACTTACTTCATTTAGCATTATATTCTCCAGCTCCATCCATGTTGTTGCAAATGACAAGATTTCATTATTTTTCTTGCGGAATAGTATTCCATTATCACATCTTCTTTGTCCACTCAACTATCAGTGGATACATGGGTGGCTTCCATAATTTGGCTCTTGTAAATAATGCTGCAATAAATATCAGGATGCATGTATTCATTTGAATTAGTGTTCTTGTATTAAAAAATGGGCAGAAGACATGAACAGACATTTCTCCAGAGAGGACATATAGATGGTCAGCATACACATGAAAAATATGCCCAACCTCATTCATCATCAGGGAAATGGAAATGGAAAACCACAATGAGGTATCACCTTACACCTCTCAGAATGGCTAAAATAAAAAATACAAGAAACAACACGTGTTGGCAAGGATACAGAGAATGGGGAACCCTTTTGTACTGTTGGTGGGAATGCAAACTGCTATGGCCACTGTGGGAAACAGTATGGAGGTCCCTCAAAAAGTTAAAAATAGAACTACCCTGGGGTCCACTAATCACACTACTGGGTATTTACCCCCAAATTCTAATTCTTGGCCTTTTAACTGTAGAGCTCCAACATAGTTTATTGTGATTTATACTTGTGACAAGCGAATGTTTAGGCTCTCTGCAGCGATGCAAGAATTTTAAAATGTTCTGAACTGAAAGAAATAACTTAGTTACCATGATTGTTCCCTTCCATGACTTTTTTCTTTTCTTTGAGGACTCACATCTTTGAGGTGTTGTTTCAGTGGGTGGTTGGGATAGTTGCAGTGGAGAAGTATGAAGAGAATTGAAAAGTTATTGCTTCTTTGTGATGGGGCAAAAGCTTAGTTTAGCTCCGTATTTACAACAAGAATAGCTCTCACACTTTCTTTAGAAAATTATGAAAGAGGCTCAAACTAGAGTAAGCACTGTGTCTCTTGTATGGGATTTGTCAAAAGGTGATAAGCAAAGCAGTGCTTCTCCTGAGATGTGAAAATAGTGTATTTTTTGACATATAGAACATTACTGTATGTTAAGTGTTATTTATAATAGGATTTGAGAAATATGCCTTCTTGTGTGACTACTGCAGGGTTGATTACTGTAGAGCTTGGAGAAAAAATTTGTCAGAGATGAGTCTGCCTGACTCCTGATTTTGTGGTCTTGGCAGGAGGAGCTCTGTGTTCAGAAAGAGGCCATAAAGAAGGTTTTCACCACCGGGCCAGGAGCAGCCTGTGACTTGACATCACTTTACTTCCAGGAAAGGTAAACCTGGGATAGCCAAACAGCAAGCAGGATTCTGATGGCTTACTATAGTCTGGGTTGTGGATTGCTGAGGCAGGACTGCTTATTGTGGAGGAACTGGGCTAAATAATACTGGCCCGTGTACACCAGCCAGGTCTGAGAAACCAGGCCAAATTCAGATGAGAAAGAGTCCGCATAGACCTCCATCCCCTGAGATGGAACTCCTACAGACTCCTCAGGGCCATGCCATGGGGGCTGTGTCTCCTGGCTGAGATGCTACCCCCCACCAACCACCAGAGATAGAATGGTCTGCCATCCCAACATGCTTTTTCAAAAATTCTTTTCCAGCACCATGACACGTTGCAGCCATCAGCAATCCCCCTACCAGCTCCTGTTTGGGGAACCCCACCTCTTTGAAGATCTCCTGGGCTTGAAGATCCGCATCTCTCCAGATGCCTTTTTCCAGAATAACACTGCTGGTGCTGAGGTGCTGTATCAGACAGTGGGGGAGCTGAGTGGAGTGAACTCTAACACCATTCTCCTTGATATCTGCTGTGGAACTGGCAAGTGGTGGCTCAGGGCAGAATCTACATGCTGTTTAGCTTCCAAACACTATCCAGAGTCCAGGTGGGGAGGTGGTGGTAGTGGTGCAGGCATAACACCAGTGGTTCAAAACCCTAAAGTACCCTCCTCTTACTTCCTCAGGTGTGATTGGTCTCTCTCTGGCTCAGTATACCTCCCAGGTCCTTGGGATTGAGTTGGTGGAGCAGGCAGTAGAGGATGCCAGGTGAACTGCAGCCTTCAATGGTACACTGCTCACAGTCTGGAGAGCTGCAGTTTTTCTGTGCTGTGTAAGGGGTTGTGTGGGAAAAGGGCATCTGCTAGATCCGTGACCTGCACAGAGGGAAGGGAGAATGTCTCGGAGTAGCTGGAATTGGGTCCTCATGGTTTTTCTGAAAGAGGTCCCAATAGCCAGTCTCCCCCCACCACCTTTTTTTTCCTGTACAGAAGAAGATTGTGAGGTGATGAACAAGCCTAGATGATAGGAAGAGAACTTGACAAAACTTTGGATAATATAGAAGAGCCTTCTTGACATTAAACTCATGAGGCATCATAACATAATATGATAGGTTTCAAATAATTTTTAGCAACAGAACCTTTTCTTTGACAAAATCTTATGCCAAAATACAGTACAGAACACAGATCCCTTTGTTCCCTGTACCCTACCTGCAAACAATTCTGGAGGCTCTGTGAAAATCTCTAATAGAGCAGAAAGAGCACTTGAATAAAAGTCAAGGTTTTCTTCTTGGTAGAAGTACTTATGTGGTATGGTATGTGTCACTAAGTTTTAAAATAACTCAAGCTGAAAGGCCTACTGAGATATTGCAAGGAAAAGTGCTTTGGCGAAAACCAACCAGGTCCAAAAGCATTTCTTTCACTGTTATTCAGAGGTGTGCCAGATCCAAAGGGAAGATGGCAGAACCCTGGCTCCTGTACATTTCTGTAAAGCTGAAGCCCCACTCCCCCCCACCCCCAATTCCTTTAGTGCTGAGCTTGACTTTTGAATTCTGTCACATGGGCCTCTCTTCTGCAGTCCTCACCAACTGTGAATTCCACACTGGTCGAGCAGAGAAGATTTTGCCACAGCTACTAAAGTTGAAGGAAGATGGGCAGTTCATTGTTGCTGTGGTGAGCGCAGCCCGGGTGGGGCTGTGTAAGGATGGATAGCTTTCCTGTTACAGAACTAGTTGGGTGTTCTCATGATGTCCAACACCTTCAGTCCCTTACTCCCTTACTATGCTCAGGGTGTTCTCAGTGGGCTGGCTCCGATCCTACTTTTCCTCTATTCCTAAGCAATTCTAGGTGCTGACCAGTTGGTAGTTTCTGATAACCCAGACCATGATAGTTTAATCATATCAATAGCAATGTGTTTCTTTCTTCAGATCACCAGGTGGTTCAAGCCATTCGAAACTGCAGAACTATCCACACACTAATTTTTGTTTCCTGCAAGCCCCATGGTGAAACCACAAGGAACATCACTGAGTGAGTCTTGACTTCCCTTTTAATTTTCTCCTGATAATGAAAGTATTTCATACTTACTATACAGATTTAGAAAACACAGCGTAATATAATATATAATACATATAAAGTAATCCATACTTATTATATAGATTTAGAAAACAGAGTAATAGGATAGAATAGAATATAAATAAACAGAAAAAAGTCATTATAGTATCATCAACAGTCAGCTATAGGGCCAGGTCTTGGGTAAGGCAAGTAAAGCAACTCACTTTGGGTGTAAAATTTAATAAGAGGGTGCACAAAATCTCAGTCATTAAGGTACATTTTTATTGCAGTATTTTCAAAACTCAAAATTAGTCCAAGAAATCTATTATGAGAAACATATTAAGATTTAAGAAAAAAAAAAAAAAAGGCAAGATCTACTCCTGTGCTTGCTAAACCCTGCCTCAGTGACCTTACTCTAATCCTGGTCCTGGTTCCAATGAAATCTTATTTATCAAAGTAGGCAACCAGGCTGCAGGTTGTTTCCAGTTTAATTTTCTAATTTGATTTTCCAAAATATTGCATTAACGTATTTGTCTTGATTACTGAGTTTTTTGGCACCCTCTTAAATTTTTTACCCAAGGTAAATGTCACTTGCTTTACTCCAGTTCTGGCCCTGGTCAATTATTTGAGTTTTCAAATGTTTTCTTCCTTCTCTCCCTCTCCCTCTCCCTCCCCCTCCCTCTCCTTTTTACATTTGCAAAACAATTTCTAATATTCAAACAACATAGGTGGGTATGAAGTACAGATGATCTACCTGGATGAAACAAATGAGAATTAAAAATAAATGAATAGAGTTTTCAAGTCAATGAGCTGAAAAAAGAGTAATAAACCTAAAAGAAACTGAAGAGAAAAATCAATAATGTTGAACAGAATCCAGAAATTAATGAACTTATAGACCTGACAAATAAATAAGAAAGTGTTATTGGAAGAAGAAAATAAAATAGATAAATCTAATCAAGAATATGAAAGAATAAAACATAAAAATATAAAGCCTTAAAAGAGAAACAGAGCATAGCTACAGATATAAAGCATTTTTTTAGGTTTATTCATTTGTTTTGAGAGAGACAGAGAGAGTGCAAGTGGGGGAAGGCCAGAGAGAGAGGGAGAGAGGTAGAATCCCAAGCAGTCTCCACGCAATTAGTGTGGAGAGCCTGATTTGGGCCTCAAACTCACAAAACCATGAGATCATGACCTGAGCAAAAATCAAGAGTCAGGCCCTTAGCCGACTGAGCCACCCAGGTGCCCCAAATTTTTTAAAATTGTAAGAAAATACTTTGGGGGCACCTGGGTGACTAGTCAGTTGGGCATCCAGCTTCGGCTCAGGTCATGATCTCACAGTTTGTGGGTTTGAGCCCTGTGTTGGGCCCTGTGCTGACAGCTAGCTTGGAGCCTGGAGCCTGCTTCGGATTCTGTGTCTCCCTCTCTCTCTGACCCTCCCCTGCTCACGCTGTCTCTCTCTCTCTCTCTTTCTCTCTCTTTCTCTCTCTTTCAGAAATAAAAAAAAAAGAAAATACTTTGTACATGTAATATATTTGAAAACCTAGATGGGCAATTTTCTGGGAAATGCAAATGGGTAATAATAATTGCAAGTAAACCTAAACAGACCAGTAACCATGGAAAAGAGTTCAGAAAGTTGTTAAAGAGCTTCTTTTCTCAAAAATAAAAGCATGAGGACCATATGTTTCCACAGTCTTATTTCCTTGTCTTTTCTTGCTCATTTACCTCTTCCAGTTGTCCTTTAATTTTATTATACTGTTTAAAAATGTTTTTGAGGGGCACCTGGGTGGCTCAGGTGGCACCTCACATCAGTGGGGAAAAGATAGGCTATTCAGTAAATGATGGTGAACAACTGGGTAGCCAGGGTGGAAAAAAACATTTGGATGTATATCTCACATTGTATACTAGAAGAAATTACAAAGCAGTCAGAGATTTAATTGTAAAAAAGGGAAACCATAAATGTACCCTAGGAAATCATAAAATTTCTTTATAGAGTGCAGAAACCCTTTCTAACTATGAAAATTCAGAAGCCATATAATAAAAGGTTGTTAAGTTTGCCTACATAAAAAGTAACTTCTCCCTTTGTTACACTACACACAGAAATGAATTCAAAATGGATTATAGAACTAAATATAATAGTTAAAACATAGAAATAAATTTTTGTGACCTTCAGTTAGGCAAAACTTTCTTAGATATGACATCAAAAGCCCAAGCAACAACAAAATACACAAACACACACATCAAATATGTGTGTGTATATAACTGGACATCATCAGAGTTAAAAAACTTTTGTGCTGTAAATGATACCATCAAGAAAATGAAAAGACAACCCATTGAGTGAGGGTCGGTATTTGCAAATCATTTATCTGATAAGGGACTGATACACAAAACCAGAAATAAAAGGCCACATCTTGTATGATTCCATTTATGAAATGTGCAGAGTAGGCAGATCTCAAGAGACAGAAAGTAGATTTGTGGTTGCCTCGGGTGAAGGTTGGAGGATTGTAGAGAAGTGGAGAGTGAGGGCTAAAGAGTGCGTGGTACCTTCTTGGGTTAATGAAAATATTCCAAAATTGATGGTTGTGATAGATGCACAATTCTGTGAATATACTAAAAACTACTGAACCTGGGGCTCCTGGGTGGCTTAGTCAGTTAATCTTGAAATCTCTTCTTGATTTCAGCTCAGGTCATGATCTAATGGTCATGAGATTGAGGTCCAAGTCAGGCTCTGTGCAGGGTGTGGAGCCTGCTTGAGACTCTCTCTACCTCACCCTCTTTTCCTCCACTGTTTGCACAAGCACTCTCTCTCTCCAAAAAATAAAAATAAAAATAAATAAAAAACACTGAAAAAAGAAATAAAAATAAAAACCACTGAACTGTATAAATGGGTAAGCTGTATGGTATGTGAACTATATCTTGGTAAAATAGTTAAAAATCAATAACTTGTGTGATAAAAAGCACCAAAATCAAAGATGAGAGACAACATATATACTAGAAAATAATTGGTAGTTTATATCATAAAGAGTTTTTTCCTTAATTTATAACAATCCCCTAGAAATTGATTTAAAAAAATGAACAGCACAGAAGAAAAACAGAGACATGAAAAGAAAATTTAATGTGTTTATGAACCATGAAAGGATGCTCAGTCTCTTCCATTGTAATGGAAATGCAAATTAAATGTACCCTGAGATACCACTTTTTACATCTCAGGTTGGCAGAAGTTCAAAAGTTTGATAATACAGTGTTAGCAATACTATGAATTCTAAAAGATTACTGCTCAGAGTGTAAATTGGTACCATCCCTGGAGAGGGAAATTTAATAATATAGATTATAAATGTATATATACCCTTTAAGCCAGGAATTCCATTCCTGAGGCCTTATTCTGAAAATACACTGACACATATGTAAAATAGTTACTTCTCACAGTATTATAACAGCAAACAATGAAATATCCTAAACGTCCATCAGTGGGGAACTGGTTAAAGCATCTATGCTATATCCATACAATGGAATACTGTGCTGCCATAAAAAGGAATGCAAATGTTCTCCCTGTGCAGATATGGTTTAAAGGTCTCTAAGGTATGTTATTTTTAAATAACAGCTTTATTGAGATATAATTCACATAGAAAATTCGTCTATTTAAAGTGCACAATTCTGTGGTTTTTAGTATGTTCTCAGACTTGTATGGCTATCACCACTATTTCCAGAACCTTGTCATCACTTCAAAAAGAAACCCTGCACCTCTTCTCTGTTACTCCCCATTTTCCCCCAATCCCTTGGCCCTAGGCAACTACTAATCTACTTTCTATTTTTATGGCTTTGACTAACAGTTCATACAAATGAAGTCATACTACATGAGGTTTGTTAAATGTGGCATCTTTTGCTTATCATGATGTTTGCAAGGTTCATCCATGTTGCAGCATGTATCAGTATTTCACTCCTTTTTATAACTGAATAATATTTCATCTCATGGATGTATCATATTTTATATATTCACGCATCAGTTGATGGACATGCGGGTTGTTTCTGTTCTTTGCCTCTTATGAATAATGCTTCTATGAGCATTCATGTGCACATTTTTGTATGGACATATGCTTTCTTTTCTCTTGGGTGTCTAAGATACCTAGGAGTGGAATTTCTGGGTCATGTGGTAACTGTGTTAACCCTATGAGGAACTGCCAGACTATTTTCCAAAGAGCTGCCCTATTTAATTTAATTTAATTTAATTTAATTTAATTTAATTTTATTTTATTTTATTTTATTTATTAATTAGAGCTGCCCTGTTTTATATTTCCACCAGTGGTGTAAGAGGGTTCCAATTTTTTGACATCCTCACCAACTCTTGTTGCTGTCTTTTTTATTATTTTCATCCTCAGGGGTGAAAAGTGGTATCTCCTTTTGGTTTTGATTTGCATTTTCCCAATGGCTAATGTTATTGAGCAGTTTTTCATGTGCTTATTGTCCATTTGTATGTCTTCTTTGAAAAAATGTCTATTCATATCCTTCGCCCATTTTTAATAGGATTATATTTTTATTATTGAGTTTTAAGATTTCTTTATATATTCTAGATGCAAGCCCTTTATCAGATACATGATTTGCCAAAATTGTCTCCCATTCTGTGCATTCTCTGTTCATTTTCTTGATGGTATTCTTTGAAGCACAAAAGTATTAATTTTGAATATGTCCGACTATTTTCTTTCGTGCCTTTGATTTTGGATCTAAGGTATGTTACTAAGTGGGAATAGGAAGGTGTGCACAATTGTTTATGTAATAGTAAACTGTCTTTGGAAAAAAGGACAAAAGATGAGAATATAGATTTATATTTGCTTGTATAGGCATAAAGAAACTGGTAAATTATATAAGAAAATGATAATGGCAGCTATCTATGGTGGGGAGAACTGCAGAGATGGATCCACAGTTGGGAAGGAAACTTAACTGAATACTTTTTTATGTTATTTCATTGTTGAATAAAATGAAAATATTTATTATGTAAGACAATACATTTAAAAATGCAATGATTAAGAGTAAAGCTAGGATTCTGCTAAATTCTCTTACTGAGTAAAACAATAAATGTGGCCTCAAAAAAGCAAGAAAAATTTATTTTGAAAAGACAGTATGTACATTTAGTAGGAAAATTCAAATAATACAAAAGAGTATGGCATGAATAATGATTCTCTTTCTTGCTCCTGACCCCTAGTCGTTCAGATGTCACCACTCTTACCGATTTCTTGTGTAGCCTATCAGAGATATTCTGTAACTATACAAATGTGTGTGTGTGTGCATGTATATGTGTGTGTGTGTGTGTATATATATGTATACCATCCCTCTTTTTTTAACAAATGGAAACAGACTAAAACACTCTTCTGCACCAGGCTTTTCACTTAACACTCGATTTTGGAGATTGTTCTACAATGATGTATAATGTGCATTGATATGTACAGGTCTATTTAATTTTTTAAATAGGTTATATAGTTTTAACTGACATAAATATGTCATTTAACCAGGTCCTTGCTCATGAATTTTAAGGTTGTTTCTACACTATTGTTACCACAATGCTGTAGTGAATATCCTTGTACATATACCTTTGCACATTTGTGCCATGTGTAGGTATATGTGATGAATAAGTGTAGGTGATAGTATATATAGTAGATAAATTCCTGTTGTGGAATTGCTGGATTAGAGGATATATGCTTTTGGGGCATCAGGGTGGCTAAGTGGGTTAAGCATCTGACTCTTGATTTTGGCTCAGGTCATGAACTCATGGTCCGAGAGGTCGAGCCCTGTGTGTTGGGCTCTGTGCCTGACAGATTATCTCTCTCCCTGTCTATCTGCTCCTCCCTGTTCTTGCTTACTCTCTCTTTCAAAATAAACAAATAAACATTTTTAAAGGATATATGCTTTTAACATTTCCAGGTATTTTCTAATAGCTCTAAAATCAACTTACCAAATAATTTTTGGGATTGTGATTGAAAGTACACTGAACTTACCAATTTAGGGAGAAATTAAAATCTTTACAGTATTTTTTATGTCCAAATATGTGGTATGTCTCTTCCATTTCTCTAGTCTTATGTAATTCTCTAAAGCCATATATATGTCTTTCTTCTTAAGGTTAATACAAGATATTGTAAAGCTTTATTGGTATTATGAATGAGACCTTTTTCATTACTTTTTCTATAGTTTATTTATTTATTTTGAAAGAGAGAGAGCACAAGCAAGAGAGGGGCAGAGACAGAGGCAGAGAGAGAGAGAATTCCAAGCAGGCACTGCGCTGATGATGCACCATCAGCACAGAGCCCAATGCAGGGCTCAAACTCATGAACCGTGAGATTATTACCTGAGCTGAAAGAAGAGTCAGACGCTTAACTGACTGAGCCACCCAGGTGCCCAATCACTACTTTTTCTAACTCGTTATTGTCAACCTTGTGTCCAGCTACCTTATTCTTTTATTAGTTTTATTTATTTTCTGGTTGATTCTCTTGCATTTTCTTGATAGCTGGCAATATGATCACCATATCAAAAATAGTTGTTTTTTTTTTATCTCTCCTTCTAATACATTTTCTTTCTTATTACATTGGATAAGAAAATGTTCCATTATAGAAGCAATAGTGACTGTCTTGTTCCCAATTTCAATGGGGGAGTGCTCTTTAAGCTATTCAGAGTCAGCCAGGGAAACAAGAATTCTTCTGCTTTGTTGGTTTGAGAGTAAATTGGTATGACCTTTTGTAGAACAGTTTAGAGGTACATATCTTAGGGCCTTACAAACAGGCCCTACAACTCAGCAGTTGTACTAAATAACTAAAAATGTGTGCAAAGATATAACTATTAAGGATCTTCATGGAGGGACTTTTTGAAATAGCAAAAATTTAGAAACAGCATAAATTTCCAGTAGCAAGGGATTAGATAAATAAAGTGTTTTACACATATTTAATGGAATACCATATAGCCAATAAATGTGAGGTAGTCTTACATAGTGGAGAGATGGACATGATTAACTGAAAAAAACTGGTTGTAAAGCAGTATGTACAATATGTACAGTATGACTCCATTTTAAGAAACCAATTTAACAGCACTCTCCACAATAGCTAAAACATGGAAAGAGCCTAAGTGTCCATCAACGGACGAATGGATCAAGAAGATGTGGTTTATCTATACCATGGAATACTACATGGCAATGAGAAACAATGAAATCTGGCCATGTGTAGCAACATGGATGGACCTTGAGGGTGTTATGCTGAGCGAAATAAGTCAGGCAGAGAAGGACAAATATCATATGTTTGCACGTATAGGAGGATTAGGAGGAACTTGACGGAGGAACAAGGGGGAGAAGAAGGGCGGAAATGGTGGGGGAAAGGGAGAGAGGCAAACCATGAGAGACTCTTGAATGCTGACAAAAACTGAGGACTGATGGATGTGGGGGGGAGGGGGGATGGGGATGGAGGAGGACACTTGTGGGGATGAGCACTGAGTGTTATGTGGAAACTAATTTGACAATAAACTATTTGTAAAAAAAAAAAAAAAGAAACCAATTTAAGTATACATATTTAGAAAGATATATCCTGAAAAATCAGCAGTGGTTATCCTTTGTGAGTTTAGAGGTGAATTTTTGTTCTTATTTTTGCTTGTCTGCCTTTGAAATAGGGAGAAAAATTAATCTACTTTGAAAAAAATTCAATAGAATAATTTAATTCAATAATATTTATTAATTAATTACCTGTCATACAAATCATACAGAAAGGTATATGGTTTGGGCTGCTTGCTCTATTCAGTATTGAACCCCTACTCTGTTTCACAAACTGGGAACACAAAGATAAATAATAAGTTTTTGGCTCATTTCTACCCTTGAAATGATTATACTCCACTGAGGAAGAAGGTTAAAAAAAAACCGCCCAGGTAGTTACATTAAATATAAAAAGTGTTATTATAGAGAGAAATACAGGGGGCTGTTGGAACACAGGGAAGGGCTTAAATTTTTTTAATGTTTATTTTTGAGAGAGAGAGATACAACACAAGCAGGGGAGGGGCAGAGAGAGGGAGACACAGAATCCCAAGCAGGCTCCAGGGTCTGAGCTGTCAGCACAGAGCCCAACGTGGAGCCTGAACTCACAAACCCCAAGATCATGACCTGAGCTGATGTAGGAGGCTTAACCGACTGAGCCACCCAGGTACACCAGGAAGGGCTTACATTTTAAGAAATGGTGTTCCTGTAGGTTCTCCTTGGTTTCTAGGAACTGATCATTAATGATCTGTTTCTACAGGCTGTGCTGTCCTCAAGACTGCTAAGAAGCTCCTCAGTGAGCCTTTTGTCCTGAGAAAAGCTGTGCCTGTGGACCTGTTCCCCCACACCCTGCACTGTGAGCTGGTACTCCTCGATAAGCAGCCTCCTACAATACTGCAAGCTCTTTATTAAGGCTGAAGTGTCAGTAACTTCCAGGTTTGGCATACTGCAACATTGTAGACCCTGAGAGCATTATTGGAGAAACCAATCTTTGGATCATGAGCAGGAAGAATGTTACAGATGACCCATGAACAACACAGGTTAGGGCCACTGACCCCTCAAACAGTTGAAAATCTACATCTAACTTTTGACTTCTCAAAAACTTAAGTACAAAGAGCCAGCCATTGACTGGAAGCCTTACCAATAACAGAACCGGTAAATTAATACATAGGTTGTATATGTATTATATATAGTATTTGTACTATAAAGTAAGCTAGAGAAAATAAAATGTTAAGAGAAAATACATTTACTGTATGTATTTACTGAAAGAAAAAAACATCTGCATAGTTCAAAACAGTGTTGTTTAGGGGTCAACCATATCTGATGTGGATTTATAACCTTAGGTTTCAGGGTCCCTTGCTCCCATGTTTGTTTTCCTGGTTGTGGCCACTCCAGGTTGGCCTTGGATCTAGATTGTTCCTTTTGCAGTCAGCTTGTAATGGCTCCCTTGGTCATTGTTCAGTCTTCTCTCCTCTGTCTGACTCTTTTTGTGCTGTGGTGACAACTGAGCTTTTCTCTGCAGTTGGTAATAATATCACATCGACTTGGGTCTCTATATTTTCACAGAGATTTTGTTAGATAATGTTCTGCATTTATGAAGTAGCCAAGAATTAGGACTGGAAACAAATCTAGCTTTTTTAAAAAGCAGAGGAAGCTATAATGTCATTGCACAGTAACTGCATGATCTTAGGGCTTCATTCCTTTGAGTTTTCTAGGCTGTGAAGTTCTAGAATACCATTTAAAAATGGGGTTACTCCTGGGAGCAATAGCACCAATTATCTCTCACTTATGGAGGAAGAATTGGTTATAGTAGAGACCCTATGAGAAAGAAGATCTTCAGAGAAGGGACAGAATACCTATAATTGTGCTATGTAGCATGGACACAGAAAGCTCTAGAATCCCCTAATGATCCAGTACATACTATAATAAACTGGATATTGAAACTGACATTCTCTAGTCTATGATTTCTTCAACTCAGGAGTTGTTCTTGGTTACTTGTCCAGAAATTTAGATTATGTTTTTTTTTTTAATTTTATAGGTTTTTTTTTAATTTTTGAGACAGAGCATGAGTGGGGGAGGGTCAGAGAGAGAGGGAGACACGGAATCTGAAACAGGCTCCAGGCTCTGAGCTGTCAGCACAGAGCTTGATGCAGGGCTTGAACCCACGAACCATGAGATCATGACCTGAGCCAAAGTCAGACGCTTAACTGACTGAGCCATCCAGGCGCCCCTTAGATTATGTTTTGAATCTTTTAACAGCTTAAGGATGTGTACAAACACCTGATTTACAAAATGATATTGGTCAACTAGTATTTTTAATTCTCAATGCTAAATAACTTCTAGAGAAGCCTCCTCGGAAAATATCCATTTAAAAAAATACTAGAAGGAAATAATGTAAAGTGATTTAAAAACGTGTTGACTTTTGGCAGTTAGATAAGTTTTATTTTCATTTCCCTATTTTTCATTTTATGTAATGGGAAAGGAACTTTATTTTCTCCTCTTTTGTTCCCCATATCTGTAAATGGGAATACTATTATTAGTTACCTAAGCCAGAAACCAAGTTACCGTTCTCGCTCTCGTACCCAACTGCCTGCAAGGGGGATTCCACCTGGATATCTTCTAGGTACTCCAAATTCAACATATCTAATGCTGCAGGTTCACATCTTTATCCCAAACTTGTTCTTGTTCCTATATTACAAAATACAAATATATTCCACAAGGAATATCTAATGAATAAATATAGAATTGGCTGTGGATAATCAGCTTCCTGATAATTTTGTTAGTGTTATTATCTTGTGAGATGATCTTAGAATCATGCTCCTGTCATTTTTATTAAAACTTTCAAATATACAAGAAAGTTGAAAGTATAGTGCAACAAACATCAGTATAGTCACCAAGATTCAACAAATGTTAACATTTGTTAATATTAACATCTGTTAAAATTTGCTTTATCTCTGTGTATATTTTTTCTTTCATAAACTATTTGAAAGTAAGTTGTAGACATCATGACACTTCACTTTTAATACCTCAACATACATCTAATCAAAAAGATGTTTTTCTACATAACTACATTCCATGAACACTGCTAAAAGAAATTAACAGTACCTCACCAATTTTCACTAATATTATCTAATATCTAATCCAGTGCTTCCTGAAGTATGGTTTGTAGACTGTTTGATGGATCACAGGGAGATAAGGAACTTGCACCACAGTGGATCAGTGCACAACATACTTCACTGAGAAAGGTTTGTCACAGAAAAATGTCAGCTGAATAAAACAATGTGCTTAGTGACATAGTTCATTTACATCAACGGGCTAGCTGAGTAGCACTGCTCTGTATTCATATTTCCCCAGCTGTCTCCTAAATGTCTTTTATGGCCAGTTCATATGTTGCATTTGGGTGTGGTGTTTCTTTGAATCTAGAACAGTCTTTCCATTTTTTTAATGACCCTGCCTTTTAGAGACCAGATCTGTCCCATATTAGGAATCTGGATGATTGTAGTGTAACTAACCATCTGGGATTGACTGAAACTCTCCTGGTTTTAGCAATGATCCTGTATCCCAGGATAGGATGCTCTGTTTCCTTATAGTGGTGTTTAGGTCCTCCTTACAGCCCTGAATTTCTTATAAATGAGTTCTTGGGTCTAGAGGCTTGGTTAGATTCAGATTAAACCATCTTTTGACAAGAATGCTTCATAAGCAATGTCATGTACTGTATGTCACATCTTATCTGGAGGCATGCAGTGTCAGTTGTCCACTCTTAGGAAAGGTGATTATTTAGGTCGTGGCCCTCAGAACTCTCCATGTAATTTTCTCTTTACAATTAACTAGAAATCTGTGGGGTGTTTCTTTGCTATCATATGATTGCCCTCTTCCCCAGTAACATCTCAACCAATGATTTTAGCATCCATTGACCACTGTTTCCTGACTCAGTAATTTGTTTTCTAATTTTTAAAATGTATTCTCTGACTTGGTGACTTAATTGGGGTTGGAAGATGTTGAGAAACTCTGGGGGTGGCACCCAGCAATGTGTTTTAACATGTTACCAGGTCATTCTGATGCTCACTCAAGTTTGTGAGCCAGTGGTTTAGAGCGACTGTTCCCTCAGCCTTCGTTGCATATTGGAATCACCTGGGGACCATTTATTTATTTACTTATTTTTTCATTCATTTATTTAATGTTTTTATCAATTTTGAGATAGAAACAGGCAGACAGAGTACGAGCAGGGGAGGGGCAGAGAGAGAGACACAGAATCCAAAGCAGGCTCCAGGCTCGCAGCTGTCAGTATCAGCACACAGCCCGATGCCGGACTCAAACTCGAGACCTATGAAATATGACCTGAGCCACCCAGGCACTCCACCTGGGAATTTTTATTTATTTATTTTTAAATAGTTTATTGTCAAGTTGGTTTCCATATAACACCCAGTGCTCATCCCCACAAGTGCCCTCCTCCATGCCCATCACCCCCCTTCCCCTCTCCCCCATACCCAGTCCTCAGTTTGTTCTCAACATTCAAGAGTCTCTCATGGTTTGCCTCCCTCCCTCTCACCCCCACCCCCGTTTCCCCTTTCTTCTCCTGCACGGTCCTCCGTTAAGTTCGTCATAATCCTCCTATACATGCAAACATATGGTAGCTGTCCTTCTCTGCCTGACTTATTTCGCTCAGCATAACACCCTCAAGGTCCATCCATGTTGCTATACATGGCCAGATTTCATTCTTTCTCATTGCCATGTAGTATTCCATCGTATAGATAAACCACATCTTCTTGATCCATTTGTCTGTTGATGGACACTTAGGCTCTTTCCATGTTTTGGCTATTGTTGAGAGTGCTGTTATGAACATTGGGGTACATGTGCCCCTATGCATCAGTACTCCTTTATCCCTTGGTTAAATTCATAGCAGTGCTATTGCCGGGTCATAGGGGAGTTCTATTGTTAACTTTTTGAGGAACCTTCACACTGTTTTCCAGAGGGGCTGCACCAGTTTACATTCCCACCAACAGTGTAAGAGAGTGCCCGTTTCTCCACATCCTTGCCAGCATCTAGAGTGCTCTGATTTGCTCATTTTAGCCACTCTGACCAGCGTGAGGTGGTACCCATATATTTCAATAATAACGCTGAATGTAAATGGACTAAATACCCCAATCAAAAGACATAGGGTAGCAGAATTGATAAAAAAAAAAAAAAATCCATCTATTTGCTGTCTAGAAGAAACTCATTTTAGACTGGAAGATACATGCCTTCAGATTGAAAGTAAGGGGATGGAGAAATATCTATCATCCTACAGGAAGTAAAAAAAAAAAAAAGCTGGAGTAGCTCTACTTATATCAGACAAACTGGACTTTATTTATTTATTTTTAAAATGTTTTTTTTATTTCTAGGAGAGAGAGAGAGACAGCGTGAGCAGGGGAGTGTCAGAGAGAGAGGGAGTCACAGACTGAAACAGGCTCCAGGCTCTGAGCTGGCAGTCAGCACAGAGCCCAATGCGGGGCTCGAACCCACGAACCGCGAGATCATGACCTAAGCGAAAGTCGGACGCTTAACCGACTAAGCCACCCAGGCGCCCCTGACAAACTGGACTTTAAAGTAAAGACAGTAACAAGGGATAAAGAAGGGCATTATATAATAATTAAAGGATCTATCCATCAGGAAGAACTAACAATTATAAATGTCTACACACCAGATATGGGAGCACCAAAATACATAAAACAATCACAAACAGAAAGTCTTATCTATAAGAACGTGCTAATAGCAGGGGACTTTAATACTCCACTTACAGCAATGGACAAACCAACTAGACAGAAAATCAATAAAGACACAATGGACTTAAATGACACATTGAACCAGATGGATTTGACAGATAGATTTAGAACTCTACATCCTGAGGCTATGGAATTCACTTTCTTCTCAAGTGCACATGACACATTCTCCAAGATAGATCACATACTGGGACATAAAGCAGCCCTCAATAAATATAAAAGAATTGAGATCATACCATACACACTTTCAGATCACAATCCTATGAAGCTCGAAATCAGGAGGGAGGGGGAAGATAGCGGAGAAATAGGGAGCTCCCTGCATTGCACTCGCCCCCATATCTCACACGGAAAAGATCTACAACTACCGACCTTTTCATCTCTTTCTCTCAGGAGTAATTAGACTATATAGTTTCTCTGGATGACACTAGTGTCCTTCTCTCATTTATCCAACCATATTCCACCCTTTAGCTCTTTGAAAAAAGCTGC